TCAACACTGAAAATGTAAGTTATCCTATTAAAAACAGACACAAGATAGGAACAGACATTTCTCCAGAAAGACACAAAAAGCCAATAGCATATGAACAGATGCTCAGCATCATTAGCAGTGAGAGAAGTGCAAGACAGACCTGCAATAAGACGTCACTTCACACCCACTAGGGTGGCCATGATCAAGAAGATGGCGAGAGCAAGGGCTGTGAGGGTGAGGAGGACCTGGCACTTCCCTGCATTGCTGGTGGGAATGCTACCTGGTGCGGCCCAGGGAACAGTCAGCAGCTCGTTGGGAGATTAACATAGTTACCATGTGACCCAGCAATGCCACTTCCAGGCATAGACCCAAGAGAAACAAAACCACAAAAAATGTATGTCCGCACAAAAACTTGTACTTAAATACTCAGAGAAATATTATTCACTAAAGGTCTGGTGCAGGAAATTCATGCGGGGGGGGGGGGGGGGGGGGGGAGACAGGGTATTCCTCAGCCCAGCCTGCACCCTCTCCAATCTGGAACCCCTCGAGGGATGTCTGACCGCCCTTTTAGGCCCAGTGGAATTGGGTTTAAATGGGCAGTTGGACATCCCTCTCACAATCCAGGACTGCTGGCTTCTAACTGCTCGCCTGCCTGTCTTCCTGATTGCCCCTAATGCTTCTGCCTGCCAGCCTTCCTAATTGCCCCTAACCGCTTCTGCCTGCCAGCCTGATCACTCCTAACCACTCCCCTGCCAGCCTGATTGATTCCTAACAGCTCCCCTGCCAGCCTTATTGCCTCTAACTGCCCTCCCCTGAAGGCCTGGTCACCCCTAACTGCCCTCCCTTGCAGGCCTGATCCTCCCCAGCTGCTCTTTCCTGTAGGCCTGGGTTCCCCCAACTGCCCTTCCCTGCAGGCCCAGTCGCCCCCAATTTCCCTCTTCTGCCAGCCTGGTCACCCCTACCTGCCCTCCCCTACAGGCTTGATCACCCCCAACTGCCCTGCCCTGCTGCCCTGATTGCCCACAACTACCCTCCTTTGCAGGCCTGGTCCCTCCCAACTACCCTCCACTGCTGGCCATCTTGTGGTGGCCATCTTTTGTCCACATGGGGGCAGCCATCTTTGACCACATGGGGGCAGCCATCTTGTGTGTTGGAGTGATGGTTAATTTGCATATTACTCTTTTATTAAATAGGATAATAACCCCAGTGGAAACAACTCAAATATCCCTCAATAGTTGAGAGGATCAACAAAATGTATATAACCACACAATGGAATAGTACTCAGTCATAAATACATACAATACCATGGATGAACCTTAAAATATTGTGCTGCCTGGCCTGTATGGCTCAGTGGTTGAGCACTCACTTATGAACCAGGAGGTCACAGGTCAATACCTGCTCAGGGCAGGTGCCCAGTTGCAGGCTCATTCCCCAGTGTAGGGTGTGCAGGAGGGATTCAATCAATGATTCTCTCTCATCACTGATGTTTCTATCTCTCTCTCCCTCTCTCTTCCTCTCTGAAATCATTAAAAATATATTTTTTAAAACATTATGCTAAGTGAAAGAAGCCAGTCACAAAAGACTTCTATGAAAAGTCCAGCATAGGCAAATGTAGAGAAACAGAAAGTAGAATAGTGGAGCCAGGAGCTTGAAGGGGATGGAGTTGAGGAGTAACTGCTATTGGGCATGAAGTCTCCTTTAGGAGTGATGGAAATGCTCTGGAATTGGATAGAGATGATGGTCACTGAATTAAAAAAAAAAAAAAAACACCCACATTCAGCCCTAGCTGGTTTGGCTCAGTGGGTAGAGCGTTGGCCTGTGGACTGAAGGGTCCTGGGTTCAATTCCGATCAAGGGCACATGCCCGGATTGTGGGCTCGATCCCTAGTAGGGGGCGTGCAGGAGGCAGCCGATCAATGATTCTCTCTCATCATTGATGTTTCTATCTCTCTATCCCTCTCCCTCTCTAAAATCAATAAAAATATTAACACACACACACACACACACACACACACACTCAAATAACATATAAAAGGATCCATAGCTCCTTAGAGAAAAATGGCTGATGGCAGCTCTGAGGGCCGAGAACATCATTCCAAAATGCAGGCCCACTTCCAAAGGCCAGTGCAGTCGTATGAAAAGGGAGTCAGAGCCAACTGGAAGAGCCTCCCACTGGTCAAAGAGGGGGAATTTTGAGCCAAGAATAACGCATGCAAGGACTGAAACATCAACTTTATAAAAAGTCATAATGATAAAGAAATCAAAATTCAGCCCATCTGGTGTGGCTCAGTGGTTAAGCATTGACCTATGAACCAGGAGGTCACAGTTCAATTCTCAGTCAGGACACACGCCAAGTTTGCAGGCTCGATCCCCAGTGTGGGGTGTGTAGGAGGCAGGTGATCAATGATTCTCTCTCATCATTGATGTTTCTCTCCTTCCCTCTCCCTTCCTCTCTGAAATCAACAAAAATGTATTTTTGTAAAAGAAATAAAAATTTAAAAGCCCACGAAGTCTGCCAATAACCAAATATCTTCAAGAATGCAGAGCCTGGTGCGCTGCCCACGCTGCTGGCAACTGTGTGGCCTGGCAGCCCCGCCTGGAAGGCAAGTCTGAGGCCCCCACAGCCGGCCCCGGAGGTGCCCCTCGAAGTGCCCGCGGGGACCGCCCCACGTCGGAAACGGCCCTGGTGTCCGTGAGCACAGCCCGGGGAGGACTCGGCCTCCTCACAGGCCGGGCGCCGGGCAATGCGGAGAACTGGAAGGACGACCGCTGGGAAGAGCCGCCAGACACATGACAAGAAGAAAAATGTTGACTGAAGAAAAGCCAGACATAAAACAATAATTCTGTTCATTTGTTTTCAGGAAGAGACACAACTATTTGGTTCTGGATGCATGTTTCGGCCTTAAAACCAAAACCAAAGCAGCAGTGCCTGCTTCGGAGGCTCGGGATGGAGGGTCCTCCCCCATCCCACCCCCACCCCCACCCCCCGGGAGAGAGGCGGCTGCGGGGCCCAGGGTCTCGGGGAGCCGTGGCAGTCTCTGTGCTTTCACCTGGAGGGTGGCGACGTGGGTGCCAGCTTTTCATTAACTTACTTACATGCATCCACCATTTCACACACTTCCATGTTTAAAAGATGGGAGGAAGAGACTCACTTGTCCCCTTTGGCGCTGCCAGAGCACAAACGCGTTTCTCTGAAGACTGACAGAGGGAGAGAAGGGAGCCTTTGTCCCCGTGTGTGCAGCGAATTTCAGAATAAAATAGGCAAAGGGGCAGTTCCCAACGAAATGGTCACGTTAGGAAAATCACCATCTGCTAAGGAGGAAGCTGTGATGGAAATGCTAGCCCCTCCCGGGCCCTGCACCCCAGCCTCCGCGGAGCAGCTGACTGCTGCAGCCTGCACTCCAGCCGCCCCCACCACGGTGGCCAGCCTGTGAGCAGAGCACCCCTCCCCTGGCCAGGCCCACAGGGAGCTGGGCTCATTTTCATGTGCTTCGAATGTTATTCTGTGTCCAAACTTGGCACAAATATTCCAGAGTTCTGCCAAGGAGCGTGCAGGGCCCCCTCAGTGCAGCCCCCGGAGTGCGGCCCAGGCCTGAGGTTGGGGACAGAGCCCAGGGGTTCAGAGAAGCCTGGGTGGGCATTAAGGGGAGCAGGGGGTCTCTGGGAGCTGGAGCTGATGCAGGCTGGGCACCACCCCCATTCTCCTGCCTCTCGGACCCCCAGCACCAGCAGTCTGGAGGGCCTCCCCACCTCGCCATCCCTCCAGTGGCTCCTCCCTGTGGGGCTCCTCCTGGCCTGTCTGGCGGGAGTGGTCAGGTGGGAAGGAAGCCGGCTGTGATTTGCCACCCTGCCCCCGGCCCTGCCGGGGCACCCAAGCCAAGCCAGCTTTGCAGCTTACCAGGCCAGCTGGTGCGAGGGGGGAGGGGCTATCGGGGCGCAGGGCCCAGGCCTGGCTAGGGGTGGCAGAAGGGCTGACCCAGCCACTGAGAGCCAGGGCCCAAAGGGCTGGGAAGGGGAGCCGGGGCAGGGGTCCTGGGCCTGGAGGGTGGGGAGGCCTCCAGGTGTGGTGCCCCGTCTGGGGCAGGGCCAACTGGGGCAGGTGAGCCGGCAGCCGGTCACCCAACACGCAGGGAGCGGCGGCGGCAGCCTGGTGTGCGATGGGGCCGCTGATAGAGGCGACACCAGATATCCTGCCGTGGGCGGGGCTGGGGGAGGGGAGGCAGGATGGGCAGAGCCAAGCTCAGAACAAGGTTGAATCCCAGCTCCCATCACACACTCACTGAGGGGCCCTGGCCTGAAACCTGCATGCACACACACACACCTGAGGCCTCAGTTTACCCATCTGAAAACGGGGGGTGAAGGTGAGCTGAGCTAATCTGCACAAGGAGCCCAGCACAGAGCCCAGCATAGTAAGCGCTCACAAACTTCACAGGCGGTTGTGGAGCTGGGCTCAGCTCAGCAGGGGTGAGGAGGGTGGTGGAGAGCTGAACGCTGGGCAGATCCACACGCTGGAAGCTCCAGGGGCAAGGACAACGCCAATCGCCACTCGTTCTCCACTGAATGCCCAGTGCCCTTCACAGGGGCACAGCACTCAGCACCTGTTTGCTGAACGAATGCATGAGGGTAAAACTACGAACCAGCAGCCACTAAGACAATTTATCAACCAATCAGTGGATCCCCAGGGAGAACCTGAGCTCAAATCCCAGGGCTGCCTCTTCCTGGCTGAGCCACGCCAGGCGCCAGGCGAGTCATTTCACCCGAGAGCTGCCTCCCCACCCAGCTAATGGGGGGAAGCAGTGACAGCACAGGGAACGGGGAGGTGCAGGGGTGCTGTCCGCGTCTTTGGAAGATGGGGCACGGCTGCTAACGGCTCACAGCGGCCCCCTGGTCCTGAGAGGGGACCCCAGCTTCTGCAGGAGCTGCCTGGGCGGTTATGCCCTCTCCTGCCCGCAGCCTGGTAAGGGAACAAAGGCCGGCTCTGGCCTGCAGGAAGACAAGCCGGGTGCTGGCTCTCCCACCTCTGCCAACAGCCCCTGCAGTCCTTCCCTCCGCTAAGGGGAGCCCTGGCTCCCTCCCCTGCACACTCCGGCAGTAAACCACCTGCCGGGGTCCCTGTGCTGGGCCCTGCTTCTTGGGACTCCAAGACAGGAAGTATTTGTAAACCGTGAAGTGAATGCACAAGTATGGTGGTGTTTTGTTGTTGTTTAATATGTTTTTACTGATTCCAGAGAGGAAGAGAGAGGGAGAGAGAGCTAGAAACATCACTGATGAGAGAGAATCACTGATCTGCTGCCTCCTGCACGCCTCCTTACTGGCGATCGAGCCCACAACCTGGGCATGTGCCCTGACGGGGAACCGAGTCTGTGACCTCTTGGTTCACGGGTTGATGTTCAGTCACTGAGCCACACCAGCAGGGCTGTGGTGGTGTTTCACTAGTATTTCCCCGGAAATGCTCCCGGAAGAAGAGCAGCTGACAGGCAGTGCTTCCCAGGAGGAGCAGGTCCACTCTGTGGGCAAGGCCTGGGTGCCGCAGGCAGCAGGGGGATACTGACAGAAAGCAGCAAGACGGTGCCACCCGGATGCGTGCGTGCTGGGGGGGGGGATCCAGCAGGGCCGCTGCGGAGGAGACGAGGGCAGGGCTCTCTGAGGAGGCGGCGGGACAGAGATGTGAACCCATAAGCCAGGCAGGCCCCTGAAGCCAGGCAGGCCCCTGAGGCCGGGCAGGGCCCTGAGGCCGGGCAGGCCCCTGAGGCCGGGCAGGGCCCTGAGGCCGGGCAGGCCCCTGAGGCCGGGCAGGGCCCTGAGGCCGGGCAGGCCCCTGAGGCCGGGCAGGGCCCTGAGTCCGGGCAGGCCCCTGAGGCGGGGCAGGGCCCTGAGGCCGGGCAGGGCCCTGAGGCCGGGCAGGCCCTGAGGCCGGGCAGGCCCCTGAGGCCGGGCAGGCCCCTGAGTACGGGCAGGCCCCTGAGGCCGGGCAGGCCCCTGAGGCCGGGCAGGCCCCTGAGGCCAGACAGGCTCCTGAGGCCGGCCCCTGAGGCCGGGCAGGCCCCTGAGGCCGGGCAGGGCCCTGAGTACGGGCAGGGCCCTGAGGCCGGGCAGGGCCTTGAGGCCGGGCAGGCCCCTGAGGCCGGGCAGGCCCCTGAGGCCGGGCAGGCCCCTGAGGCCGGGCAGGCCCCTGAGGCCCGGCAGGCCCCTGTGGCCAGACAGGCCCCTGAGGCCGGGCAGGCCCCTGAGGCCGGGCAGGCCCTGAGGCCGGGCAGGGCCCTGAGGCCGGGCAGGGCCCTGAGGCCGGGCAGGCCCTGAGGCCGGGCAGGCCCCTGAGGCTGGGCACGGGGACAGCAGTGCGAAGGCCCAAGGCAGAGCGCTGTGTGGCACATCCCAGAAGCGGCCAGGAGCCCGTGAGGGTGGCGTGGGTGAGATGAGGTCAGAGGGACTGGGCAGCCAGACCACACGGGCCCTCGCAGGGGCCGTAGGACTTTCTATTCCAAATCAGAGAGGATACAGACGTTTTGAGCTGAGGAAGGACGTGATCTGATTTAGACTCTGAGAGGGTCTCTCTGGCAAGGAGTGGGGCGGAAACCCCAGTAGAGGCTGCACCAGCCCAGGCCGGGGCGATGAGAGTGGCACCCGCTGGGAGAGCCGGGACCTGCTGATGACTGCATGAGGGGTCAGGAGGCGGAGGAACCTGACTAGCCACTCACAGAGGGGACCGAGGAGCATGTCAAACTGCACCGAGGGGGGCAATCAACAAGTTCCAGCCCTGAGAGAGGCTACGCGGCAAAGATCCTGGCATCTCCCACAGATAAACTGCCCAGACTAGAAAAGATGGCCCTGGTCAGTGCGGCTTTATGGCTGAGCGGGGTCCCGTGTCCCGGACACCGAGCGGTCACAGGTTCTCTTCCCAGGGAGGCACAGGCCCAGTGCGGACTCCATCCCTAGTAGGCGGCATACAGGAGGCAGGCGATCAATGTTTCTCTCTCTCCCTCTCTAAAATCTGTTTTTAAATATTTTAAAAGAAAAAGATGGGCCCTAGCAGGTTTGGCTCAGTGGATAGAGCATCAGCCTGCACACTGAAAGGTTCCAGGTTCGATTCAAGTCAAGGGCACATGCCTGGGTTTCGGGCTCAGTCCCCAATGAGGGGCAGACAGGAGGAAGCCGATCAATGATCCTCTCTCATCGTTGATGTTTCTATCTCTCCCTCTCCCTTCCTCTCTGAAATCAATAAAAAAAAAATATTTTAAAAAAGATGGACGGGAAACTGGATTAGAAGACTAAGACATATCAACCAATCACAATGTGGGGACCTTATTTGGATATTGATTAAAAAATAAACATGTCTGACAACTGGGAATGTGAACTCTGAGTGAGTATTTGACTATGTAAAGTAGGGGTGTCGAACTCAATCAGAGAAGGGGCCAAAATCTAAAATCCAGCCTAAATCTCGGGCCAAATGGTTTACTGAACAGTCATAAACTGTCATTGTGATGGAAACGCAGCGGAGTGCAGTGATGACAGCGCGGTGCGGGCCACATTGCAAGGCCTGGCGGGACCGATTTGGCCCGCGGGCCTTGTGTTTGACACATGTGATGTAAAGCAAAGGCTACTTCTTAGTGTAATAAGGGTCCTGATTGCAGTAGGAAAAGCCTTTATCTTGATACATTTGTGATGAAATGATGGCTGGAGTTTGGTGTGAATTAGGGAAGGGGACGGTAGAAATGAAACAAGACTGGCCCTGAGTTGGTAACAGTTTAAGTTGACTGTGGATACATATTCAATAGAAACTCTTCCAGTCTCTCTCCTTTCATAAAGGCCTAACATTTTCCACAATAAAAAGCCAAAAAGTAGCCCTGGCCAGTTTGGCTCAGTGGATGGAGTGTCAGCCTGCAGACTCAAGGATCCCAGGTTTGATTCCGATCAAGGGCATGTACCTTAGTTGTAGGCATAGACCCAGTAGGGAGTGTGCAGGAGGCAGCTGATCGATGTTTCTCTCTCTATACTTCTCCCTTCCTCTCTGTAAAAAAATCAATAAAATATGTACAATTTTAAGTTAAAAACTAAAGGACAAAAGAAGAAGCTGAGCCAAGGGAAGACACTGAATGGCCCAAGGACCCGTGTGAGTCAGGGTCAGGACTGGCCCCGCCCCAGCCATGCTCCTGCCGGCCTCAGCTGTCTCCTCAGGAGGCTGGTCAAGGCTGGACCCAGCGGCCAGGGATGGCTTGTTTGGCCCTGGGGAAGGCCCTGGGGATGGGGGGGAGCAGGAGAGGAAGGCTGGAAGATGCTGGGCCTCTGCCAGGCCCTGAGGAGCAGGGAGAGCCCAGGCCACCTGCACCAAGCAGGGGGAAGGAGAGACAAGAAACCGGCCACAGATAAAAATTCTTTGAACTCAAGAGGCAGCCTCTGTCTCAAATGCCAGATTAGAAGGATGCCATGTAAATGCTTTTTTTTTTTGTTTCTTTGTTTGTTTTAGATTTCTCAGAAAAATCTCAGGTATTAGCAAGTATAATTTCAATTATGTTTTTATGAGGATGTTTGTTGTATAAAATGCAAACAGCATGGGATGCTGAAACAGAGGAAACATGCCCTCTTGCCTGCACTTGGTTTCCCAAGGCCTGCCTCAGAGGTCAGCTCTGACTGCAGCCGTCCGGATACATTTATGCAACATGGACACAGAGACGGGGTGCTTTTCTTAACCTTCACCCGAGGGAGGGGGGGGGGGGAGAGAGGGAGAGAGAGACAGAGAGACAGAGAGACAGAGAGAGAGAGAGAGAGAGAGAGAGAGAGAGAGAGACAGAGAGAGAGACAGAGAGAGACAGAGAGAGAGAGAGAGAGAGACAGAAAGAGAGAGACAGAGAGAGAGAGACAGAGAGACAGAGAGAGAGAGAGAGAGAGAGAGAGAGAGAGAGAGAGGGAAAGAGAGGGATCACTGCTTTCCTTACCCTCTCTGACTGGGGAGCCAGCCCACAGCCCAAGCATATGCCCTGACTGCGAATCAAACCAGAACCGTTCAGTGCACAGGACAACGCTGACCAGCGGAGCCGCTCCGGCCGGGCGGATACATGTGTATTTTACACGGATCATCTCATACCCTGTCCTCCCAGCCACTCGCTTTAACTAGACAGGCGCTGCCTTTCCACCTGCCACTGAGCGCGGCCCGTCCTTCACCGCGGCGCCCAGCACCCACAGCGGCGCCTGCCACAGCTGCCCACAGAGTTCCCACCGAGACTCAGCGACCGCAGGAAGGCAGGACCCGGCCTGCAGCCAGCGGTCTGGGGGCCTGACCGTGTCACAGCCCTGCCCACTGCGGCTGCGGGAGAAATCCCTGGACCAGGAACTGTCCCCGCCCGGGGCCACGCAGGGCTGTTATGACGGTGGCTTTTATTTCCCGAACGGATTGACCTTATTTAGTGACTCACCCTGGATCACAATCTCCTTTGTCCCTCCTGAGTAAATAAGAGGATACAGCACTTATTATTTCTGAGCAGCACTGGGTAACCAGAAGCCACAAATGGGGAGCTACCTCTACTCAGTAAACAGTTACAGATGCACACGTGGAAACAGCTCATTAATTCCTAAAAAGGGACGCGTTCTCTTAACTGTCAAATTCAAACAAGCATCCATGGCCGCTCCCTGATACGAGAGGAGTGAATCCGGAGCCCTGCCCTCCCCTCCTCTCCCTGCGCCTCCCAGCCCAGTCCAGGGGCACAGTTAATACAGCCTCAGGGCACCAAGTGATGCTGGCTCTCAGGGAGGCCACACGTGGCCTTTAGCACAGCACGTCCCCTGTCGGGCGGTGACACTAGCTGTTGCCCCTGCTGCTGGGTGCTGTGAGCACCCACCCTCAGCGGGCAGCCCCTGGTGGTACCGCTGTTGCGAGCCACAGCCAAGGGCACAGCCAGTGCCCATGATGCCAGGGCCTCGGGGCCTCACCACTCCAAGCACATTCCTCTCTGGCTCAGAGCACCCGGCTCCCGAGGCCTCCTGCTGAGCCACCATTTGAGGTCTACTGTCCCTCTGGCCATCCTGCCTCCTTCCTCTGCCCCCACGGATGAGGCTCCAGGGATGCCCCTCCCCCCCCACACACACACATGCTTAAATCTGCTTCCTGGGACCCTGGGTGGCCCCACCGGTCCCCAGGCCCCACCTCCCCTCCAGTCCCCTGGGCACAGTGCCCACAGTGTGTGTGTGTGGGGGGGGGGGGGGCGGGGGGGGCTGTCTGTTGCTAGCTAATGGGTTTTCTTCATCTGGCTTTCCGGTACCTTATAAAATGTCCACAACAAGCATGTATCACTTTGGTAATAAGAAAAAATAATAAAAGCTTTTTTTCCCCTTTAAGATAAATCTAAAACCGAAGCAAACAGCCCTCATCCACCTGCCTCCCCTCCCCCCTCGCTTCCACCTGCTTCCCCAGGGCGAGCTCCCCAAAATCAGCGAAGTCCCCGTCCTGCTAGGCCCACAGGCACTTTCACTTCCCCCTGAAGGCTCTGCCACCAGCGTGTCCCTGCTGGGGGCGTCATATGCAAATCTAAGGCCCAGTCCTCATTCCTGCCGGAGAAGAATGCTGTGAGTCCTCAGACTGGTGAGGAGAGGATGGAACCAACACACACTCATTACCAAGTGCGAGCTGGGAGCACTGGGTGCTGGGCACCACGGGTGCAGCCAACAGGACAGACCCTGCCCCTCGGACTTCCCAGCCTCTGTGTGTGTGTGTGTGTGTGTGTGTGTGTGTGTGTGTGTTGGGGGGGAGGTGGGAGGGGGTAGGCAACAATCAAAAGCTCCAGAGGACACTATGGGAGGGGAGGGGAGGGGAGGGGAGGGGAGCAGGGTTTGAGGAAAGGGGCTCCCAGCCCAAGTCCAAGCTTCTGGGAGGAAGAGAAGCCCAGCGGGTGAGGGGTCTGTGGGGAGGAGGGAGAGTGCTCTTAGAGGGGTGAGGGGTCGGTGGGGAGGAGGGAGAGTGCTCTTAGAGGGGTGAGGGGTCTGTGGGGAGGAGGGAGAGTGCTCTTAGAGGGGTGAGGGGTCTGTGGGGAGGAGGGAGAGTGCTCTTAGAGGGGTGAGGGGTCTGTGGGGAGGAGGGAGAGTGCTCTTAGAGGGGTGAGGGGTCTGTGGGGAGGAGGGAGAGTGCTCTTAGAGGGGTGAGGGAGGGAGCCTGTGCAGAGGCCTGCAGGTGAGGAGGGCTTATTTGAGGAACTGAAAGGTTTGAGCAGCTGGAGGGCAGAGGGCGGTGAGAAGGGACAGGAAGCCCAGGCAGGACCACATTGGGGAGTCTGAACTGTGTCCTCAGGGCGCTGGGAGCTACTGAAGGATGCAGAGCAGGCGTGACAGGCTCCGCCCTCTCCTATAAAGAGTGCTCTCCTGCTCCGTGGGACTCATTGAAGATGGCATTGTTATTGATCCGCAGCTGGCACAGTCACACTCAGTCATGCACGCACCACCTCATGCAGGGAGGTCAGCCGCGGAGCACCTGAAGCCGGCATCGCCACAGACAGCGCGGCAGCTAGGTCCACGGCCCTCTTGATCTTTTTTTTTTTTTTTTAATATATTATATATTGATTGATTGATTGATTTTATTAATTTTTTACCCAGAGAGGAAAAGAGAGGGATAGAGAGTTAGAAACCTCGATGAGAGAGAGACATCGATCAGCTGCCTTTTGCAGCCAAGGTACATGCCCTTGACCGGAATGGAACCTGGGACCTTTCAGTCCACAGGCCAATGCTCTATCTACAGAGCCAAACCGGTTTTGGCATAATATATTTTTATTGATTTCTGAAAGGAAGGGAGAGGCACAGGTAGAAACATCAATGATGAGAGAGAATCATTGGTCGGCTGCCTCCTGCATGCCCCCTACTGGGGATCAAGCCGGCAACCGGGGCCTGTGCCCTTGACCGGAATTGAACCTGGGACCCTTTGGTTCGCAGGCCGACACTATCCACTGAACCAAACCAGCCAGGGCAGCCCTCTGGATCTTGCCATAGGAAATACGGCTTCCGGGCATGGACTCCGGAGCCTCGGTTCCAGTCCTTGCTCTTCCACTTTCAAACTGTGACCCAGGTGACCTCTCTGTGCCCGGGTCTCCTTGGTGACATGGGTATAACAGTAGCTCTACCGCTGGGCTGCTGTGAGGGCTGAGTTAAACATGCCTGGGACAGGCCCTGGCACATGACAAGTACTATACTAGTACTAGTTAGCATTTTTACTGTAACCACTGCGCCCTCCCTTCACGGTCCCCAGGGCCAACCACTGCAGGCACAACTAAAACACCCTCCACGCGCCCCTCCCCCCGAAGCCTCTTCCCTGCTCGCCACGGCTAGGGGCCAGGACAACGCCAGAGAGGAGGGACTACGGGCCAGGACAACCAGCCGCTCGGGCCTGGCCTGGGCCCCGCAGCTCCCCCAGCAGGACCTGAGTGTCGCCTGGCTCTGTGCTGACCTTCCCGGGCCTCAGTTTCTCCCCCTGTAAGACCAGATCAGGGACGCCTGCAGAGGTCTGCCCAGCGTGGCTGTGAAAGGAGCCGCAGGCTGGGGGAGCTCTGCGATGCCCCGGCTCTCACTGACAGGATGGTGGCAGCCTCTCAGTCCCGGTTCGCTCCCCCACACGCGGAGTCACGAGGTCTGCTCAGCGCTCACTCTGAGGGCCCCTGAGGCTCCCGGGTGCTGACTGGAACCTTCCCTGGGGCTGGGACAGAGACAGAGGCCTCTGACTGAGCTGAGCACCCAGGAAGGAAGCGCCAACCAGGGGCTCAGGAAAGCCAACCCCTCTGGCGCCTGCAGCGCGAATCTCCCAACGCCACAGCTGCCCACTATGTCCGGTCCGGGAAGGGCCTGTGTGCACCTGTCTGGTCTTGATGGCTCTTTGGTCCTGGGGGCGGGAAGGAAAGCACAAACCCCCAAGAGAATTTTCCTTCCGGTGCCAGCTACTTCCCGGGGTTCAGTTCATTCATTTGCTTATTCCATAAGCATTTGCGTGGTGCCAGGCCCTGGCCAGGCGCAGGGCTGATGGCAGATGAATCAGACAGGCTCCTACCCCGAAGCTCTAGAGAGCAGCAGACGAGACTTAAGTAGCCAAACCACAGGCCAGCGAGGTGGGGGTGCAGGCAGGAGCGAGGATCTCACCTGGGGTACAAGGAGGCGGCTGGAGTGGGTGGCCCATGAGTGGGTAGTCAGAGATGAGAGGGCCAGGCAGGCGAGGGATGGGGCCTCCAGAATCCCTGACCGTCTGTTTGCACCCGGGGGGGCCACAGCCAGGGCAAGGTGGTTATTTATGGTTAGGCCCGGAAAAGCGGCCACATGTGTCATGGCACGTGGGCTGCATAGCAGGGCCCAGGGGGTGGGGGTGGGGTGGGGGCAGCTGAGGCTTGAAGCTGGTTCTGTCCAAACTCTGGGGTTACCACTGTGTCCCCAAACCCTGATGACCTTTTAATGTCTCATGGCCTCCTGAAAAGCAAAAATAAGGGAGGGGGAGGGGGAGAGGACAGGCAGCAAATGGCCTGGGAGGAGGGCAGTGCCAGTCGGACCAGGCCCTGGCAGATCCACTGGCCATTCAGCTCCTTCTTCTCTCCCCCTCCCGTCCCAGCTGCGGGAAGGGGCCGAGGACAGGAAAAAACACATTTCACTGTAAACCAGACCGTTGTAAACCAGCCGCTGTGCCTCTCCCAGCCACTCTGATCCACAGGCCTCTGCGCCAAGCTGGCACCCCCCCACACACACACAAATCCCCGCTGGTACCAGAATGCCCCAGGGCCAGAGACTGGCAGCCAAGGCCGGGTCCCAGCGCCCCCACCGAGGAACCGACTTCCTGCGTGTCCCGTGGGCAAGGAGCGCGCCGCCAGCTCCGGCTCGGCTCTCCGGGCCCGCAGCGGGCATCCTGGCGCGGCCTGGGATGTGATGTCTGCGCGCCCCGCGCTGGCAGAGGCCGCTCGCTCACCTCCATCCAGGTCACTGCCCAAACCTCCTCCCCCACCACACACACACACACACACACACACACACACACACACACACACCGGCGCTCTCCCCCAAAACCCCAGTCTGGCGCCCCCGCCAGCCGCACCTCCAAACCGGCCCTCCCCGCTCTCCGGGCCGGACCCCTACCTGGGGCGGCAGGCCCAGCACAACCACGGCGCCCGGGCCCGGGGCCGGCCTCCAGCCCGGACGGCTTCCCGGGGGAGGAGGCTGCGCCGCGTCCGGGCTCTGCGGGCTGCGGGCTGGGCTGCGGGGAGGAAGGTCAGCGCGGGAGGAGGGGGAGGAGGCGGCCCGGTGCGCGGATCAGAGGCCGCGGCAGCCAATGGCGGGCGCGGGGCGGGGCCGGCGCAGGTGGAGGCGGCGAGCGGCTTAGCGCCAGGAGCCCCCCGCGGCCCCGGAGCCCCCCGCGGCCCCGGAGCCCCCCGCGGCCCCGGAGCCCCCCGCGGCCCGGCTCCCCCCGCGCCCTCCCCGGGGCCCCCGCCCAGCAGAGGGGCTCCGGGCGCCAGTGCAGGAAGCAGCCCCCACGCCCCCCCTGCAGGCTCTCAGGGCACCCAGGGGTGTCGCTCCCTCCCCTCTGCCTTCTCCCACCTCCTCGGACTCTTCTCCATCCCAGTCCGCCTGTCGGTTTCTGGTTTCTCCTAATCCAGCGTCTGGTGTGTGTGTGTGTGTGTGTGTGTGTGTGTGTGTGTGTGTGTGTGTGTCGCTTCTCCCCATCACCCCCCGCAAATCCCCCCCATCAATTTTGACCAGAAGTGCCAAATCTCTACCCTCAGGTAGTTCACCGTTGTGATAGAAAATAGATGCTAAATAGAATAAACAGCACACAGAGTATGTTTTAAAGTGGAGTGCACGAAGTAGGAAAATAAAGCTAGGGAAAGAGAGGATGTTCAGGGCTAAATTAGGTCCCAGCTATTTGTGGGGAGTGGGAGTGGCTGAGTGTGATCAGAGGTAGGCATAATGCAAAAAAATAGTTTGCCACAGACCTCACCCCCACCCCCACACCTGTTGTTTACACATGGGCTGGTCACACATTTACATTTCTTGCCTTCCTTTCCATCCCCCCACCACCACCCCCAGAGGCACTGAAATTCGTGACCCCAATGGCCCGGGGGGAAGCATCCTATTTGTTCCACAGGAAATCTCTGAGCACTGACACATGTTAGGAGCCTGGAGACACTCAGCACCTCGCTGGGAAGGCCAGGTGGCAGTGCGTACCCCAAGGACGAACAGGACAGCCAAGCACGTGGACAACATTCCCGAGAAGGTGAGAGGGCTCTAGGTTCAGGCCATCCAGGAAGGCTTCCTGGAGGAGGCAGCACTCCAGTGCAGTGCTGAATGGTAGCTGGGATTCTGATGAGCCGCATGAAGCAGGAGGCAAGGAGGGGGTCCTTGAAGAGGACATTTGGCAGGAGGCTGGGGCTGGGGTCCTGGAACATCTCTGGACACCCTACATGTACGGGGTATGCTAGTGTCTTAAGCTGACAAAGTCCTACCCACCTCAGAAGCTTCTGGTCCCAACTGCCCTCACCTCAGACTGAAATTCCCCATGGCCCCGAGAAGGCAGGATGAGCCTGGGGCAAGGGGTGGAGGAGAAGGAAACAGACATCACTCAGTTGCTTTTCTGCTGGTAAAAATGGGCATGCGACCGAGCCCCTCCGAAGTAGGCCTCCTTATCGTAATAGCCGTGTGGCAAATTTCTCAATTGATCTGTGTGCCTTGGCTCCCTTGTTTGGAAATGGACACAGCAGCAGGCTGTGTGAGCATTACACAGAACAATCTAGATGAACTGCTGAGCACTAAGTGCTCAGTTAATTTTTGGTTGTTATTAATCCTCACTTGAGGATATTTTTCCATTGAATTTTAGATAGAGTGGAAGGGAGGGGAAGAGACAGAAAGAGAGAAACATCCATGCGGGAAAGACACATCAATTGGTTGCCTCCTGCATGCACCCCGACCAGGGCCAGGATGGAGCCTACAACCAAGGTGCATGCCCTTGACAGGAATCAAACCTGGGACCCTTCAGTCCACTGAGGCTCTATCCATTGAGCCAAACTGGCTGGGACAGTGCTCAGTTAATTTCATTGTGATTATTACTATGACAGTTAGACTTGTCCCTCAGGGTGTTGGAATTAGACAAATACTAGTATGTGAGGCACCTAGCAAAGTGCCTGGAACCCATTACTATGCAATAACTAGTACCGTGTTTCCCTGAAAATAAAACATCCTCCGAAAATAAGACCTACTTACAGGTTTCCTTCTGAGTGAAATATAAGGTATCCCCCCGAAAATAAGCCCCCCCCCCCCCCCCCCCCCCCCGGCTCTGTCTCAGAGTGAAAATTAATTTACCGTGAACAGGTCGCTAGGGCCGCCCCGACTGGCGTCTAGCAACCAGTGATATTACGCGGAGTCCTGACGTCACTGCTGTTGGACGGGACGCAGCCAAAGTGATGAGTGCTCGTCTGTCTCTGGTGACACTACCTGATGCTTGCGGCAGCCCTCATGATGACTGAAGGTTCTCAGTCAGTGGCAGACCCTGCTCCAGCCCAGATCCAGGCCCCAGCAAGCCCAGTGACAGTCCCCAGGCAGGCCCCAGGGGGTAAATGTCTGATAAAGGTGTAGGGGGGATGTCTGGTGAAGGTGTTCAGTGGCACAGGGGTATGGGGAGAGGGATCACTTAAAATGACTCAGGAGGATCAGAGGGGGCAATCAAAATGACACAGGAGGATCAAAAGGGGTTACTAAAATGGTAATCCCCCCTCTGATTCTCCTGTGCCATTTTGATTCCCCCCCCTCTGGTCCCCCCTGTGTCATTTTAAGTGATCCCCCTCCCCCCACCTTGATACCCCAATTCCTTTTTTTTACCCCTAGAAATGAGCGCAAAAAGAAAAAGCTACTCCATGGAGTACAAGAAAGGAATCATGGAAGACTCTTGGGGCCAAAATCTTACTGCTTTCTGCAAAGAGAAGATGTTGAGTATCCGATTGGTCCGAAAATGGCAAGCAGAGTATGGTTACCTCATTGAACAAGTGGACAAGAGAAATGCTAAAAAGCACAAGTGTGGATCAGGTCGGCAACCATTATTTTCCGAGCTGGAAGACCTGATCTGTGAATGGGTTGTTGACAGGAGAGCAAAGACTTTGTTTATGAAAAGGGCTCAGATTCAAGAATTTGCCCTTGTAATGGCACCACAGTTTGACATAGCCCCCGAAGGCTTCAAAGTATCACAACACTTGCTGGATAATTTCCTTCAGCTGGATAATTTCCTTCTTTAAGAAGATCTACCGGTACAACATTGTTTAGGTTGGAAGATACTCAAGTTATTAAGTGAGAACTTGCATTCAAGTCCTTTATTGATGATGCTGACTTCTTTGGAAAGATTGATGATACAATCTTTCCAACACGATTGCTATGGATGAAACTGCAGTGTTTATGGGCCAATCATCTCAAACAACAATTGAACAGCAGGGTGCCTCCTTAGAGTACATTCCCTCCACTGCTTACGAAAGTGCTCGTGTTTCCTGTATTTTGGCAATTCGTCTGGATGGCAGCAAAATCCCACCTTTAATCATTTCTAAGGGCAAGAAGGAAAAGATTGAACGTGTTTTGGGTGTTTTTATTCTTGAAACTGAAAAAGCCTGGGCCACACAAGCAGTTATAAGGAAGTGGGTCGATTTAATGCTGCTGCTTGTTATGCGAGGGAGCCAAAGAGGTCTGCTAGTCTGGGATGCAGCCAGCACTCACCGCGCTAAAGAAATGAAGACATTTCTTCATGAAAGAAAAATAGATCAGATAATGATTCCCACAGGAATGACGGCCTATCTCCAGACTCTTGATATTGCAATAAACAAGCCATTCAAAGACAATTTACGCATGGAAATTAATGACTACATTGAAAATAGAATGGAGAGAAATCAGCGTGGGAACTTTGTGAAACCTAAACTGCAAGAAGTTGTAATTTGGGTGAAGAATTCATGGGAGAAAATCACTGACAGTTGCATTGCAAATGCACTGCGAGCAGGCTACCTTGACAAGAAGTACTCATTTAAAGACAGTGCTATTGCTAAACATGAGAGATTTGGTCCACTGATTCTGAAAGAAATGGAGTCACAAGGAATTCACCAGGAAATTCAGGAATTGGATTGTTATGATGATGTTCCAGAAGATGATGGCATGATTGTCATTGAATAAATCAGTAAATTCTTGATACTGTAAGATTCACAGTTTGTCTGGTTTGTGTTGACAACTACCGTACTGCTGTACCATATACAGGTAATAAATTTCCTTTATTTTCATTTAACAATAAATGTGTACCATATTCTTATTCATGGAAAAATAAGGCATCCCCTGAAAATAAGACCTAGCGCATCTTTGGGAGCAAAAATTAATATAAGACTCTGTCTTATTTTCGGGGAAACAGGGTATCTATGATTAGCATTAACTACATGCACCCCAAATCTATGTGATAGTCCTCTTGTAGACAGAACTTTTTAAAAGTGAAGAGACAGGTTCCCCAAGAGGCTCTTAAAGTGCAATCTAGCCTGGCCAGTGTGGCTCAGTAGTTGAGCGTCGACCAGGTGGTCTCGGTTCGACTCCCAGTCAGGGCACATGCCCAAGTGGCAAGATCAATCCCTGGTGTGGGGCGTGCAGGAGGCAGCCGATCAGTGATTCTCCCTCATCACTGATGTTTTTATCTGTCCCCTCTCCCTCTCTGAAATCAATAAAAATATATTATATAAATGAATAAGTGAAGTGCAATCTGGCATGGATAGACCAGCTCCCGGCCCCTCTCCTACTCACATGAGCCCAGCCCGGTGGTCACTGGACGTCGGTGGACTGGAGCCGATGGTAACCTCAGGAGGCAGGGAAGCCCAGGCACAGGATGCTGACAGAGGGGACACTCGGCGTCCCTTGGCAGCCAGGCATTTGGTGGAGGACGGAAGAGTGATGGGCACAGGGGGTGGGGTCACGATACGGAGAGCTATGAGAGCCTGGAGGCTGGAGGTTGGCAGAGACTGGGATGCGGGGTCAGGGAGGGTGACTAGAGGCAGACCTGAAGAGGCAGGTGACAAAGGGCCGGTGGTAGGGAGAGTGAGTGAGGGAGTGGACAAGCTGGACTTACTGCATTGGAGCTGCGACCTGGCAGCCCCAAGCCCAGAAAAATATCACAATGGCACACACACACACACACACACACACACACACGCACACACCCCGCCCACCCCAAGCTGAAAGTTACTTTGGAAATTGACACACAACTGCCATGCTTCCTATGATTGAGCTAGCTTCCTTCTGGATCTTCTGATTGCAAAACTGTCCAACGAAGCTGACCTACCCCCTCCCTCTTATTGTTTTATGCTCCTGTCCAGAGAATAAGACTTTCTCTCATTTGCACAGCACTTTTCACTTCTCTTTTCCTTGTTAATGTTTTATGTTATTGATTTTA